CTTGAAAAGTTAAAATAACAAAAGGAGGTAATAAAGTTAACCAATGCGAAGGGGAAGAAGGCAATTTGAAACTTCAGGGAAAAAAAAACAAAAAATACACAGGAAAGGACAGGTAATCACAGTCCATTACATAATGTAATTATTATTTATTTACTAATTTTCAACTTTAAAAACTAAGCTATAAAAAAACGAAGGCAGTGGTTATTAAAGAAAATGTAAGCATTTTAACATCAAGAGAAAGAGAAGAGATAGTAAAAGTTTAGGTGAGAGAAGTTAAAAGGTGAAAGGGATGGAAACTGAAGGACAGACATGGTAATACGGTATCACAGAGTGGTGAGTCATGAGACAACATTTGGCCTGCACACAGTTAAAGAAAAAATGCAATGTCATTGATGGTGTAAAGTCAGATAAATTATTTTGGGGGGAGTACTGATTTCTGTCAGTTTACAACTGAGTATTCATTTTTTTAATTTGAAGTATGTTGATGTATAATACTGAATAAGTTACAGGTGTACAATATACTGATTCACAATTTTAAAGGTTATACGTCATTTATAGTTATAAAATATTGGCTATATTCCTCATGTTGTACAATATATCCCTGTAGCTTACTTTATACCTAATAGTTTGTACCTCTTAATCCCCTACCCCTAAATTGTACCTACCCCCTTCCCTTTCCTTACTGGTAACCACTAGTTCGTTCTCTATATCTGTGAGTCTGCTTTTAAAAAATTATAGTCACTAGTTTGTTGCATATTTTAGATTCCACATATAAGTGATATCATACAGCATTTGTCTTTCTCTATCTGACTTATTTCACTTCATGTATTGATCGACACTTAGGCTGCTTCCATATCTAGGCAACTGTAAATCATGCTGCTATGAACATTAGGCTGTGTGTATCTTTTCAAATTAGTGTTTTGGGGTTTTTTTTGAACACATATCCAAGAGTGGAATTAGTTGGTCATATGGTAGTTCTATTTCTAGTTTTTTGAGAAACCTCCATGTTGTCTTCCAGAGCAGATGCACCAATTTACAGTTCCACCAAGAGTGTACAAGGGTTCCCTTTTCTCCGCATCCTCACCAACATTTTTTATTTGTATTCTTTTTGATGATCGCCATTCTCACAGGTGGGTTTGATTTGCATTTCCCTGATGATTAGCAACACTGATCAGCTTTTCATGTGCCTACTGGCCATCTGTGAGGTAAATTCTTAACTCTTAATGCAAGAATAGTCAGTGTCTAATATTGCTGTATCAATAAATAACAGTGTAAGCATATTATACAGGTATGCACAGCCATCACAGGATGAATAAAAAAGTAAAAATAGTTAAAGGATTAAACATGATTTTCTCCAGGGAGCAGATGGGGTGGGCCAAAGAGTCTGCTTAACAATCCAAGCTCTTCTACATGATTTGATTTTTAAATACCATATCCATGTATCTTTTGAAAAAAAATTTTTATTTTACAGAAAGCAAAAAAAAAAAAAAATCTGCACTATTTTCAACAGTGAATAAAAATAACTCACTTGTCCACTCATAGTAAGATGATAACTGAATTTCTACTTAGTGCAGTGGTTGGGCATTAGAGAAAACAGTTACTGCCATGAATGACCAAGGCTTTCAACTTAACATATAAAATGCTTAATCAATACTTATTTATTTCGAAAGACTTGTTTCATTTTCTTTTCAACAACTTTAATAAACACTTAGAATGAAAGTTACTTGTACTACTTCTTTAAAAGTAAAAGGTATCTGATGTTAAGCCAAACACTTCAAAATAACATGTTTAAATAAACAATTTTGTGTATGATGTATTCAAGATGTCTGAAACACTGAAAGTAAGCTGTAAGTATATTAAATTCTGAAATATTCAGGTTATTAGAAGACAATAATGGTGTGGACCATTTAAAAAGAAGAAAGAGGGCTTCCCTGGTGGCGCAATGGTTGAGATTCCGCCTGCTGATGCAGGGGACGTGGGTTCGTGCCCCGGTCCGGGAGGATCCCACATGCCACGGAGCGGCTGGGCCCGTGAGCCATGGCCACTGAGCCTGCACGTCCGGAGCCTGTGCTCCGCAATGGGAGAGGCCACAGCAGTGAGAGGCCCGCATACCACAAAAAAAAAAAAAAAGAAGAAAGAAATTATGCTTCCAACTCATTAATCTTTTGAAGTAGTTTATATAAATCCTTCAGTAAATCTGCCTTGTGTTATCTGTATGAGTATGAATGTGCAACAGAAAGGAACTTTAGAAACTCATCGCTTCTCAAACAAAATGATGAAATCACAATGTGAGAGGTTCCAAATTTTCTTGGCTTCCCTAATCTGCCCCACTGTTAAACCAGGGCAGAAATACTGCATCCACTCATACTGACATAAACAGCACAGTATTTTTCTAAAACAGACATCAATATTGTTATGGGCTTAATTTTTTTTTTTAACTGTATTTTTTTTTTCTATTTTCTTAGTGGTTACTCTAGGGCTTACCTCTGGACAGTTTACTATACTGTCTTCCTGTCCCATCCCGGTAAGTTGTCCCCAGGAAAGGTCCTGGGCAGAGCGTGTGGGCAGGAAAGTTGCCTGAAGAAGGATGGCCTTGGACGATGGGGCACAGGAGGGAGGACTGAGGCACTGAGATGGCCACAGGGTGGCAGCCCCAGTGATAGAGAGGCTGCAGCTTTTTTTTTTTTTTTGCGGTACACGGGCCTCTCACTGTTGTGGCCCCTCCCGTTGCGAAGCACAGGCTCCAGACGCGCAGGCTCAGCAGCCATGGCTCACGGTGGGCTTAATTTTTAATCACAACATATTTGCCAATATGAAAGGTGAGGTGGCATTAGAAACCCAAATATAATACCATACAGAGTTTTTAAAACTTTTTTAATTAAAATTCTTATTTTTAATATAATGTTAACTCAGTGATTGAGCCATTACACTAAGACTCTTCTGTGTTACTAAGTTGTGTGTATATCAAACTAAGTAATTTTTATTTATCACTTTAAATAGATTTAGCAACCATTATTTCTTCTCTGAGACTATTTTCTAATCTGTAAAATGGAGCCAATTTCTAGCTTACAGTGCTTCTGTTAGAATTAAATGAGCTGATATATTTGAAACATCTGATATTCAGTAGTTGATCAATAAAAGTCAGCTCTAGTTCCCCTTTTGTCCTACATGTACCTTGATACAAGTTAAAGTTTAATGTCTAATTCAAAAAAATCTACCCAAATTATTACTTTATTCAATAATTAAACATTGAGTCCCAAATATATATACCAGACATGTTCTAAATAGAGAAGATCAGTGTTATATACCAAAACAAGGAAAACTGCCCTACCAGATATCAAGACTTAATATAAGCTTCTGGTAATTAAAACAGTATAGTATTACTGTAGGAAGTGACAAACAGACAAAACAAAGGACTCAGAAATTGAGCCATTCTTAAAGAGGACATCAACATATGAGAGAAGTTCCATTACATATCAATGAAGAAAGAACTGGACTATTCAAGAAATGGCTTTCCACATGAAAGAAAAACAAAATTTTATCCCCTTTTTAGTCCATCATCAAAAAAAAAAAATTTTTTTAGACTAATAAACTTACACAAAGAAAACCTTAAAGCCAATTAGAAGAAAATGTTTTTAAAAACGTTATGACCTCGAGATAGGAGAAATTTTCATTTTAAAAAAAAGCAAAATGCAAAGGAATATATTTACATATCCTTATATTTTACTAAATAAAAATATAAAACTTCCATATGACAAAAGATAGCACTAAGATAAAAAGATAGCAATACTGGGGAAAATTGCAATATATAATCAGTAAGAAAAAGGAAAACAACAACAACAAAAAAGATCAAAAGAATCAACAGAAAACAAAATATAAATGACCAATAAACACAGGAAAAAAGATGCTTATCTCACTATAATCAGGAAAAATGCTAATTTAAAAAATTAAATAGAAACCATTTTAGACTGACAAGAACTTTCAAAGCCTGATGCTACTGAGTGAACATACAGCCAAGTGGAAACTCTCAATCAACAATAGTGAAGTAGAGATGGTAACAGCCACTTTAGAGACTCTAGTGGTTATCTAGCAAAATCAAACATACACATTCTCTAAGATCCAGTAATTCTACTTCTTGTACATGTTCACTGTATGTTCAAAGTAGTAAAGTTTGTGACAGCAAAAATCTTGAACTCATCTAAATAGTGTGGGAAATGGATCAATACCGTGTAGTAGAGTCATGTGATAGAACACTACATAGCAGTTAAGAGAAATAGACATGTATTCATACACATATGTACACATATATATGAACTTGGATAGATGTCAAAACATAGTAAGTAAAATTATACTGTAATGTATCAGTTACATAAAATTTCATAGAAAACACAAAACAATATTCACATATATCCATGAAGAAAATAGGTAAGAGTATTAAAACTACACTAAAAATTTACACTTGAAATTCATGGTAGCTGTTGTCTTTGAGAGGTAGGAGGACAAAGATGATGTTAACTTTATAATGATTTGTTTTGTTAAAAAATAACAGATAATACAGCATGTTAACAGCTGTCAATTCTGAGTGAGAGTTAAGGTAGGTGTTTGTTATACTTTTCTTGATACTTCAGTCAATTTTCTGGATTGAACAAAAACTAATCAAGGTCACCAACAAGATGATAATTCAACTCTCTTCTCATCAACTTAAATACTGACAAAAAGTAATATGTGAGTTCAACATGCTAAGAATGCAAGATAAGCAAATGGAATAAATTCCAAGTCATGTAATTATGCTGATAAAGCTTACGAAAAGTAGAATAAAATATATCTCAGAAATGAGGTAAAGAATTTTGATCTTAAACATCTTTCATATAATCACTAAAATGAATTTTCTCTCTTTAATTTCCATATTTCCCAATTTGATAGCTAACTATCACTGTAATTTTCATCTAAGCACTGAGAAAAGAAATAATAAGTACAAGTCCTAAAATAAATCAACTAACCTGTATGGGTTCTTCTATGTCTCTGAAGCTCATCACTCCTTGTAAATCTTTTGCCACAAAACATCCAGTTGCATATAAAAGGTCTTTCTCCAGTATGCCAGCGAAGATGTGCTCGTAGGTGAGATGTTTTGCCATAAACTTTTCCACATCCTTCAATATGACAGATATGTTGTTTCTTTTTTCCTGGTTCATTACTGCCTCTACAAAAACAAAAACAAAAACCAAACATTAATTACACTCCCAAACACCAAGCTTATAATTCAGGAACAGTAAAAGGGAATCAAGGTAATTAAATGATGCTTTTCTAAATGAGTTTTTAAAATCATGATGCCACAACTGTAGTTAAAAATCAGAAAAAAACAGCACTGTGTAGTAAAACTCAAAAGTGGTATGAAAACACATTAATTTTAGAGAATGTATGTTCTGCCATGGAATTCACATGTTCATTTCCTAGTATGTTCCTCCCCTGGGAAAAAAATCTCTTTAAACTTTTCAAGACACTTGAAAACTCTCCTCTAAAATACCAAAGAATGGTAATCCTCATTTAAAAGTGTAACGTTCAGAGTTTCACTTCCAGCAAAAGCAGCACGAAGAGCTCCCTGGACCTACTCCCCAGTGAAACCAGTGCAAATAACAAAAAAAGCAAATAACATTTACAATCTCTGGAAATGGCCTTATGAGTATACAGCAAATAAAGCAACATTTATTCATGAAAATCAAATAGAACTTGGTAAGAAGAATGAGAGTCTGCTGTATTTGAACCAATACTCACTCTGTGTCTCCCTCCTCCTTCCACCTCCCCTGACACAGAAACACTACAGACTTGTGCAATCAACAACAGGGTTCCCTCTTCTCCCACCCTTCTAGTTGCTGGGTTATCTCCCCAAGAAAGGCAGGACATCAGCATTTCTCAATCTACCCGCAGCTACCTGTTACTGAGGCTAAGTTTCAGGTGAGTGTGGCTGACAGATGGGGAACAACCTTCTTCCACCCAATCCCAACCCCTGAGACACAGGCTCAACCTTGGATAAGGCATGATGAAAACACTGGGGTCCAGATGACCCTTGACCCAGCTCATTTGTAGTTCATAAATCAGAGGTTCCAAGCCTGGAGTGACCAGCCAATAAAACTTGAGGCTACTGCTGACCTCCTGCCCCCACGTACTCAGCTCCTAGAGCACAGAATGCATAGGGAGAAATGTGTCACTGTCCCAACCCCCAGTTCAAGAGCCATGACACAGAGATTTTGGCCAGAGGGAGAGTATACCATAAAACAGAAGGCTCCAAATCTCTTCCCAAGAAATTGACTTCATTTGCAACAAAGTGTGGAGAGGTTTGAGCCTAAGGATGATCTTAAAGACAGTGGAGATTGTTGCAAAAGGCAACTGGGAGGAGACTAATAGATTCACTGGAGACATAAGCTAAACTATAGACTGACAGGTTGCCAGAAAGAACTGAGGAAAGAGGTAGCCGGTAGGAGTCCTACAGGATCAGAATAAATCTCAAGCACAGACCTAAGTTCTGCCTTTTAAAACTCTGATTGGATCAGGCTGTGGAGCAATATATGCTTCAGGGTATTACTGAAAACAACAGAGCAATCAGCTGGCAATTAGTGGAGCTTAACAGCTGGGTGTGGTCAGAGAAAGAACCAAAAATATCCCTACCAAAACCACTGTCATCCCAGGGTCACTAAGGAGCAACACGCTTCATACTGGAGAGGGGCAGGGGAGTGGGGGCAGGGATTTTCATTAAAATAATCCAGCTCCTCACTAAACAAACAAGCAAAACAGTAACAAGCCAGAGGTGGGAGAAGGACAGAAGGCAGTACTAGGAGTTGCTACAATATACTATTTCTCTAGTTTCCAACAAAAAATTATGAGACGTGCAAAAACCAGAAACAAAGAAGGAAAAAACGACCTATACACTAGAGAAAAAGCAGGCAAGAGAAACTGCCTGTGAGAGCAAACAAATTTAACAAGACTTCAAAGCAGCCATTATGAATACGTTCAAAGAACTAAAGGACATCATGATTAAAGAAGTAAAGCAAGGTATAATGACATCACATCAAACAGAGAATATCAATAAAGAGCTAGAAATGATTTTTTAAAGAACCAATTGGAAACTCTTGAGATAAAAGGTACAACTGAAATGAAAAATTCACAAGAGGGACTCAAGAGAAGGAAGAAATAGTGAAACTGAAGACAGTTCAATAGAGATTATGCAACCCAAAAAGCAAACAAGAAACAGAAGAAGAATAAACAGAATGTCAGAGAAATGTGGAACACCAACATATGAATGAGAATACCAGAAGGAGAGGAGACGAGAGGGAAAAGGGGAGTGGGGGATGAAGCAGAAAAAATATTCAAAGAAATAACAGCTGAAAACTTATGAAAAACATTAACCTACACTTTCAGGAAGCTCAACAAACTCCAAATACGATAAATGTAGAGATCTACAAATAGACACTTTACACTAAAAATCCTGAAACCCAAAGACAAGGACAAAATCTTGAAAACAGCAAGAAACATGACTCATCACTTGCAGGGAAAGCCCAGTAGGATTAAAGGCTGACTTCTCAGTAGAAACATATTCAAGTACTCAAAAACAAAACAAAAACCAACAAAAAAAAACAAAAAAAAACGCTCACAAAAAAACCTCAAACAAGAATCCTATATCCAGCAAAGCTATCTTTCAAAAATGAAGGTGAAATAAAGATATTCCCAGATAAACAAAAACTAAGAGAATGTGTTGCTAGTAGACTTGCTTTGCAAGAAATACTAAAGGAAGTTCTTTAAGCTGAAAGCAAGTGAAACCAGCAAGTAATTCAAAGATATATAAAGAAACAAAAGCGCACTAGCAAAGGCAATTACGTAATTATAAAGGACAGTGTAAGTGCATATTTCTTCTCACCTGATTTAAAAAGCAATTTTGGGCTTCCCTGGTGGCACAGTGGTTAAGGATCCACCTGCCAATGCAGGGGACATGGGTTCGATCCCTGGTCTGAGAAGACCCCACGTGCCACAGAGCAACTAAGCCCATGTGCCACAACTACTGAGTTTGCGCTCTAGGGCCCACGAGCCACAACTACTGAGTCTGCATGCCACAACTACTGAAGCCCACACGCCTAGAGCCCGTGCTCTGCAACAAGAGAAGCCACTGCAATGAGAAGCCCGTGCACCACCACAAAGAGTAGCCCCCGCCTGCCGCAACCAGGAAAAGCCCATATGCAGCAATAAAGACCCAAAGCAGCCAAAAATGTGGTTTAATAAAAAAATAAAAAGCAATTTTATAAAACAATATGTATAAAATGTATTGTCAAGATTGTAACATTAGAGAAATGCAACATATGTAACATATCTGCCAATAACAGCACAAAGGAGGTGGCTGGGAGCAAAGCCATAAGGAAATGACCCCAAATAGGAACTCAAATTCATGGGAATAAATAAAGAGAACCAGAAATGATAAAGTTAACAGAGCAAATTTAAAAGACATAAATTTATAAAAATAATAATTATAACAACGTATTGTGGGGTTTGTAACCCTTATGTATTTAACAGTAATACCATAAAAAGAAGCACAAGGGAACAGACCTATATAGGAGTAACATTTCTATAACTCACTGGAATTAAGTTACCGTAAATCTTAAACTGATTATGATAAATTAATATATTGTAAGGCCTAGAGCAAGCACTAGAGAAATAAGCACAGTGAAAACATCATTAATGAAATTATAATGCTATATTACAAATTAAAATATTAATTTAATTCAAAAGAAAGCAGTAAGGGAGGGATAAGGGAGCAAAAAAAGACATGAGACATAGAAAACAAAAGGTAAAAATGGCAGACATAAATTCATTATACTGATAACATCAAATGTAAATGGATTATATAAACTAATAAAAAGGTAGGTTTTGTCAGATTAGATTCAAAACAAGACCCAACTATGTACCATCTATAGCTGACACACTTTACATTTAAAGACACAAAAATACAAAGATATTGGAAAGTAAAAAGATGGAAAATGGTATCATGCAAACAACCACAAGAAAGCTGGAGTGGCTATACTAATACCAGGCAAAATAAACATTAAAACAAAAGATGTTATTAGAAATAAAGAGAGAAATTTGATAAGGATAAATGGGTCAATCCATCAGGAAACATACATGCATTTAAACAAGAGTAAAAAGAGAGTGCCAAAACAGAAGTAAAAACTGACAGAAATGAAGGGGGAAATAGACAATTCAATGATAATAGCTGGAGATTTCAATACACTATCTTCAGTGATTTTCCACAAAACAACTAGGTAGAAGATCAACAAGGAAGCAGAAGACTTGAATAACACTGTAAATAAACAAGACCTAACAGACATACACAGAACACTCCAGCAACAACAGCATTCTTCTCAAGAGCGCATGGAATGTTCTCCAGGACAGATCATATACTAGGCTGTGAAACAAATCTCAGTAAATTTAAAAGGACAGAAATAACAAAGTTTTCTGACCACAGTGGAAGAAAACTAGAAATCATTTATAGGAGGAAACTGGGAAATTCACAAATACCTAGCAATTAAACAATATACTCCTAAATAACCAATGGGTCAAAGAAGAAATCAAAAGGGAAATTGTAAAAGACTTTGAGATGAAGGAAAACGAAAACACAACATACCAAAACTTAGGGGATACATATAAAGTAACGCTTAGAGGGAAACTTACAGCTGTAAATATCTATATTTAAAAATATCCTACCTCAAACCTGTCAGAATGGCTAGTATCCAAAAGAGAACAAGTAACAAACGTTGGCAAGGATATGGAGAAAAGGAAGCCCTCATGCACTGTTGCTGGGAACGTAAATTGGTACAACCGCTACACCAAACAGTATGGATACTCCTCAAAAAATTAAAAATAGAACTAATATAAGACCCAGGAATTCCACTCCTGGGTATTTATCCAAAGAAAGTGAAAACACTAATTAGAAAGGATACATGCACCCTTATGTTCACTTCATCGTTATTCTCAATAGTCAAGATATGGAAGCCACCTAAATGCCCATCAATACATGAATGGATAAAGAAGATGTGGTGGGTGTGTGTGTGTGTGTGTGTGTGTATACACACACACACACACATAATAGAAAATTACTCAGCCACAAAAAAAGAATGAAATCTTGCCATTTTTGACAACGCAGATGGACCTAGAGAATATTATGCTAAGTGAAACAAGTCAGACAGAGAAAGACAAATACTGAATGATTTTACTTATATGTGGAATCTAAACAACAAAATAAATGAACAAACATAACAAAACAGAAATAGAGTTATAGATACAGAGAACAAACAGGTGGTTGTCAGAGAAGAGGGGTGTGGAGGGAGGAAAAAAAATAGGTGAGGGAGATTGAGAGGTACAAACTGTCAGTTAAAAAATAAATGAGTCAAGGAGATGAAATGTACAGCATGGGGAATAGGGTCAATAACTATGTAATAATTTTGTACAGTGGTAATATCATAACTAGACTTACTGTGATCATTGTGAAATGTATAGAAATAGTGATTCACTATATTGTGTAACAGGAACTAACAGAGTTATAGGTCAGTTACACCTCAAAAACAAACAAACAACTCACAGAAAAAGAAATCAGATTTATGGTTACCAGAGGAGGGGAAATGGATGAAGGCAGTCAGAAGATACAAACTTCCAGTTCTAAGGTAAATAAATGCTAGGAATGTAATCTACAACATGATAAATGTAAGTAACACTGCTGTATGTTATATATGAAAATTGTTGAGAGCTAAATCCTAAGAGTCCTCATCACAAGGAAAAATATTTTTTCTATTTCTCTAATTTTGTAGCTACACAAGATGATAGATGTTCACTAAACTTATTATGATAATCATTTCATGATGTATTAAGTCATATTATTATGCTGTACACTTTAAACTTATACAGTGCTGTACGTCAATTATATCTCAATATAACTGGAAGGAAATAAAGATCTTAAATAATGTAAACTTCCATCTTAAGACAGTAAAACAGAGCAAATTAAATCCAAAATAAAGCAAGCAGAAGAAAGACAATAATAAAGAATAGAGCAGAAACTAATGAATTAGAGAATACAAAAACAATAGAGAAAAATCAATGGAACCAAAGGCTGATTAAAGGTCAACAAAACCAACAAGCCATTAGGGAGACTAACAAAAAAAAAAGAAGACTCAAATTACTAGAATCAGAAATGAAAAAGGGGATATCACTACCAACCTTACAGAAATAAAAAGGATTATAAAGGAATACCAAGAACAATTGTATACCAATTACTTAAAAAACTATAAGATGAACAAATTCTTAGAAAGATACAAAGTACCAAAGCTGACTCAAGAACAAGACAGAACTCAGAACAAGTAACAGGGTTGAATTAGTAGTCAAAAAAATACACAAAGGAAAAGCCCAGTGAGCTTCACAGGTTCACAAAACATTTTAAAAATTAATACCAGTTCTTCACAAACGTTCAAAAAATGAAACTGGAGAGAAGACTTCCCAACTCATTCTACAAGGCCAGTAATAACTTTGCCCAAACCAAAGGCATTATAAGAGAACAAGAGACCAATATCTCTCATGAACATGGATGCAAAAATTCTCAACACAATAGTAAAAATCCAAATCCATCAACATATAAAAAAAATTACATAGCATGACCAAGTTGTATTTATCCCATGAATGCAAAAGTACTTTAACATTTAACAATCAATTAATGTAATATACCATATTGACAGAATAAAAAACAAAACTACATGACCATCTCAACAGATGAAGAAAAGCATCTGACACAATCAAAAACCCTTTCATGTTGGGTGAGTTGGAAGACTCATACTCCCCAATGTCAGAAGTTACCACAAAGCCAAAGTCATCAGGACAGTGTGGTATTGGCATAGAAACAGACATACAGATCAATGAAACAGAATTGAAGAGTCTAGAAATAAACCTATCTGTCTATGATCAACTGATTTTTGACAAGGGTGCCAAAACCATCCAAAGAATGGGGAAGGGACAGTCTTTCAACAAATGGTATTGGATGAATCCTTACCTCACAAAAATTAACCCCCAAATTGATCAAAGACCTAAATGTAAGAACAAAAACTATAAACCTCTTATAAGAAAAGTGGGAATCTTTGTGACCTCAGATTGGGCAATGGATTCTTAGGTATGACACCAAAAGCAGAAGCACCCAAAGAAAAGACTGGACTTCACAATTAAAAACGTTTGTGCTCCAAAGGACACTATCAAGAAAGTGAAAAGACAACTCAGAGACCGGGAAGAAATATTTCAAATCATAAATCTGATAAGGGACCTGTATCTAGAATATATGAAGAACTATTATAATTCAATAATAAAAAGACAAATAATCTAATTAAAATAGGCATAAGATCTTAATAGACAATTGTCTAAAGAAGACACACAGGGACTTCCCTGGTGGCACAGTGGTTAAGAATCCACCTGCCAATGCAGGGGACATGGATTCGATCGCTGGTCTGGGAAGATCCACATGCTGCAGAGCAACTAAGCCCGTGAGCTACAACTACTGAGCCCGCATGCCACAACTACTGAAGCCCACGTGCCTAGACCCTGTGCTCCACAACAAGAGAAGCCACCGCAATGAGAAGCCCGTGCACCACAACAAAGAGTAGCCCCCACCTGTCACAACTAGAGAAAGCCCATGCACAGCAACAAAGACCCAACGCAGCCAAAAATAAATAAATTAATTTAAAAAAAGATACACAAATGGCCAACAGTAAGCACACGAAAACATACTTTATATCATTAGTCATCAGGGAAATGCAAATCAAAACCAAAAACTTGTATAAGAATATTTGTAGCAGCGTAATAGCCAACAGGTGGAAAAAGTTCCAAATGTCCAACAACTGATGAATGGATAAGAAAAATATTGTATATCCATACAATGGAATATTATTTTGTTCATTAAAAAGAATGAAGAACTGACACATGCTATAATATGGATCAACTTTGAAAACATGCTAAGTGAATGAAACCAGTCACAAAACCCACATATTTTGTGATTCCATTTATATGAATGTCTAGAACAGGCAAATCTATACACAGAAATTAGTTTAGTGGTTGCCTAGAGCTGGGAGGGAAGAGGGAGTGATAACTAAATAATACAGGATTTGTTTTCAGGGGAACAAAAAAGTTCTAAAATTGACTGTGGTGATGGATGTACAACTCTGTGAATATATTAAAAACCACTGAAATGTACAGTTTAAATGAGTGAATTACATGGTATGTAAGTTTTACATCGATAAAGTTGTTTTAAAATTTTACATAAATAAATGAAGAAAGAAAACCATAAAAGAAAGTATAAGGTACATGGTAGAGGACCACTGAAATCCCATTCCCAGAATAGCTCAATCTAATCCCCTTCATAACAATATTGTATCTCAACTCTTGGGCTATAAAGCTAGTGATGTTCTAATGATCGAAGTACTCAGCCAATGGCTTGATTTTAACTAATACCCTACGTGCCTTGATTACATGTAATTGTTCATTACATGTTAGCTATTATACTAGTCTCCACTGAGTTGGGTGGCAATAGAGCATTTACCTTCCTTCTCCTTCCCTACAATTAGGACAGGAACAGGCAACTCTTCGAAGCCTCTTGCCAGGCTGCACCTCTTGATCAGAAGCCTGCTGGCCTTGCTGCAAATGCACTTGTGTGAGTTGGTCAGGACTAACAGCACCTATAGTTGCATTAGCAATTCCTCCAACTGCTACGGTTACAGGAGCTATTGTAGCTTGTTGGACTTTCACTCCATCTTGTCCTTGCTGCTGACCTAAAAATGAGAGGGGAAAAGAGTATTACAATGTTTTCTATTCCTAAAAAAAGGATTTAGAAAATTTCCATATGGACACTTTAAAGCTACCATATTTGTTCTAACAGATTATCTGTGTAAAGTACAAAAGCAAAGGGGTTAATTTAAGTTTTATACTATGCCAATCCTCCTAAAATATAATATTCTAACCTTAGCAGCTCAGGCTTCCTCTATATCTGGTTGGTGGGACTATACATAAATTTTAACCCCCTTGTGGCTTAATTTCTCCATCTGTAAAATGAAGATTAATAATCCTTGCTACCTTACTACCTCACTGAAGTGCTGTGACGATTCATGAGACATTCTTTGAGATCCTCAGATGAAAGATGTTATATAAATAAAAAGCATTATTATGACCATTTCCACAGTAAGCAACATCTCATTCACTCCATAAAAATACAGGAATAAAAAGTAACTAAACAAAGGATTAAGTATAATGGACATTTCTCATTCCTAAACACTTTAAATTAAGCAAACATCTCTTTACTGATGAGTCTTTTTTTTTTATTTTACACATTGAGTTAAGCAGTTTTTTTAAAAATGCAAAACCATGCATGATTATTACATACTGTCACTAAAATCACAGAACAGACATTTAGGATATTATTACTTCATTCACTCATGTTACATAGCTTAGTTTTCACCTCTCAGGTCAGTACACATACCAACTTGGCTATGTTGGCTTAGGGAAAAATATGATAAGCAATATATAATATGACAAAATTTACATGGCTTAAGTTGATCCTGAGTGTATATGAGTATGCCTTATAATTATACTTTCTCTCAACATAGTTCTACTTTCTCAGGTGTGGGAATAGCAAGTATGTGAAGGGGCAGAAAACACCCATTTATGAAGGAATGCTCCCACCTCAGAGTTGATGTAAGAATTAAATACGTTAATTTTTACAAACCCCTTACCACCACCAGCGCCTAGCAAAGAATTGTTCATTACATGTTAGCTATCATTATTACTAGTCTCCACTGAGTTGAGTGGCAATACAAGAATAAAATATGGTTGCAGAAACAAACATGTGAGTACTGCATATAAAATAAAAGGGTTTATTTTAAAGCTGCATATGTAGTACTTTAAACATGCGAAGCAACCAAGAAAAGACAATAAAAATTAGCAAGTGAGAAAATAGCACACATTTTCAAAACAAAATTAAACCTTTGACTCTGCCAGCCAAAGTCAATCTCACCCTCCTCTGTGTAGTCACAGCAATCTGAAACCTTTGGTAGTACCAATAACTTTAACACAAATAAAATATATGTGGAGCTTCCCTGGTGGCGCAGTGGTTAAGGATCCGTCTGCCAATGCAGGGGACATGGGTTCGAGCCCTGGTCCGGGAAGATCCCACATGCCGCAGAGCAACCAAGCCCGTGCGCCACAACTACTGAGTCTGCGCTCTAGAGCCCATGAACCACAAAGACTGAGCCTGTGTGCCTGGAGCCTGTGTTCCACAAGAGAAGCCACCACAATGAGAAGCCCGCACACAGCAAGGTAGAGTGGCCCACGCTCGCCGCAACTAGAGAAGAGCCTGCGCACAGCAACGAAGACCCAACACAGCCAAAAATTAATAATAAAAAAAAATATGTGTTCTGTCACTGCTTTAGTAGAGACACATATTTTAGTGCTTCTAGTAAAGTTTAAATTTTCATTCACCTTTGCATTAACAAGGTGTGATAGGTAAAGAAATGAAAAGTAAAGTGAGAAGTTGTGAGTTCACGTCCCATTCAGTGACTGTACACTTGGAGATCCTCACTTTCCTCACCTCTAATAATACTGACCTCCCTAAAATTCCTGTCCCTCACCTACTTTGAAGAGTTGTTTATGAAGATCAAATTGATTTTCTAATGGGTAAAGGCTTTGTAAACTGTAAAGCAATATGTAAAGTATAATTATTATGCCTCAATGCAGCTTTCGGGCACACATAAGTTCTACATACTCAGTAAAACCAGATTCCTTAAGGATGACCTTGGCTAAGCAAACTATGCAAACTACTTATGCATCTAGAAGCACAGTGATACACATACTCCCTATTTACTGGGGGGAAAAAAGCATTTTTGGAAATGGGAGTTCTATCCAAACCAGCACTAAACACTATACAAAGTCTTTATAGATTGGTCCCTATGGAGATGCAGGTATTTCAGGTTGGCAAGTATTCTTTATGTCCCCTGAAGTCATGAGATATTTCTGGCCGTAATTTTTCCAGCTACTGTTTATACAACAGTTGGTCATTCCTTTCAGGTTGCAATGATATTTATTTAAGATGCCCTTCATTATGTCAAAGAACTGCTAGAGATCCATGATCACTGGCTGATCATACCATTTCAACAGACTCTCAAGCCTCCCTACGAACGTTTATTTGTTGAATGCCTAAACAACTTGAGGAGTTATTTCAAGGAATAATACTAAGCAAACCATATTTGAATTTAAATATTTAAGCCTGACAACTCTCTTGACTTCTTAACCTAGATGTCCCAGACAGTTCAACAACAGCTCAATACTACTTTTCTTTCATTTCTGTGACCGATCAAGAACAAGCCACCAAACTCCTTACTAAGGCCTCTAAGGCCCTGCTCAAGTTTAACTCCACCCACCTCTCAGACCTCATCTTTTATTAGTCTCTCCCTTGCTCGCTCTACTCCTAACACACTTGCCTTTTCCTCTGGTCCTCAAACAAATCAGGCTCATTCCCTGCTTAGGGCCTTTGCACACACTCTCTAGTCTGGGCGAGGATGCCTTTGCACCCAGATCTCTGCACAGCTGACTCGTTAGTAACAGTCTGATCTCAGTTCAAATCCTCCTCTTTAGAAATGCCATTCCTGACCACATCATCATAGTTCCCCTTAGTCCATTTCTGTATGATCACCAAGTTTTGTCTTACTTGCCTTAAATTATCTTGTCCTTTTATTTTTTTCTGTCTTCGCCTCACTTCTGAATGTTCAGTGCCATGGTAACAGAGATCCTGCCTGTTATGTTCACTGATGTATCTCCAGATGTGGAACAGAGCCCAAACAACAGAGCCACTCAATAACATAAGCTTAATAAAGGAAAATTTAAAAGAAAAACACATTTTAATGCTGTTTTGATCATATCACTTCTGTGCTCAATAACTTTCATTCATTCCCCATTGACCAAAGTCTGGCATTCAAAGGACTTCCACCACAGGGACTCAGCTCCTGGCTCACAGATTTCCTCCTAAAGGCCAAATCCAATGTGCATTTTCTCAATGCACACAAATAAGACTGCACTGTTGCATGTGACACCATTGACTACTCTGTCCTTAAAACTTGACTGTTGGAGCTAACTCCCTACAATCTCAGAAACTCTTCCTCTCTGTTAGCTTTCCCTATCAGCATTTAAACCTAAACTGACGTCACGTTCTTAAAAGATTTACCTACACTGGTTGCCTTTACTCCTCATTTCCCATTCTTTCTTTCTTTCTTTCTTTCTACCTATCTATCTATCTATCTATCTATCTATCTATCTATCGGCTGCGTTGGGTCTTCGTGCTGCGCATGGGCTTTCTCTAGTTGTGGAGAGCAAGGGCTACTCTTCGTTGCGGTGCTCAGCCTTCTCAGAGCACAGGCTCAGTAGTTGTGGCGCACGGGCTTAGCTGCTCCGCAGCGTGTGGGATCTTTCCCATATGAGGGATCAAACCCGTGTCCCCTGCATTGGCAAGTGGATTCTTAACCACTGCGCCACCAGGGAAGTCCTTCCCATTCTCTCTTTAAACTACTGAAATTAGGTGTCCAACTCATCATTCTGCTAAAATGATGACAGAACGAATGATTTCTCTGATGGTAAACCCAAACATACTCTTCCCTTTGATCTTATTTCACCTCTGGAGCACCTGGAGCTGCTAATCCCACCCTCTTCTTGAAATGCTCTCCTTCTTGGGCTTCTCACTACTCACCACTGCTGTTCCTCCCACTTCTCTAGCCACCCCCACATAGTTCCAACTTCTCATTCTAACTTGCTCCTTGGTTTATTCACACACTTTCGTAACTTTTACTACTATGTGTAAGCTGTATCTCCCAAATCTGTACCTTATGCTCAAACACCTCTCATGAGTGTCAGACTCTTCTTGTCATCTGCCAGGGAACATTTCCACACAGATTTTTCACAGGGAATCTGTCTAGGAATCAGACAGGTTATCCCACAAAAACGGTACTCCTACCGAGCTACCATTTTCTCTTGCTTGATTACTACAATAGCCTCCTAACTGGTCTCCCCGCTACCACTGTCCTCTATAAGTTCATTCTTAACATTGTTTCCAGAAGAATCATATTTGCAGAACTATTATACAATAAGAATATCCTGGGGCTTCCCTGGTGACTCAGTGGTTAAGAATCCACCTGCCAGTGCAGGGGACACTGGTTCGAGCCCTGGCCCAGGAAGATCCCACACGCTGTGGAGCAACTAAGCCCGTGTGCCACCACTACTGAGCCTGCGCTCTAGAGCCCACATGCTGCAACTACTGAAGCCCAAGGGCCTAGAGCCTGTGCTCCACAACAAGAGAAGACACCACAATGAGAAGCCCATGCACCATAACAAAGAGTAGACCCCGCTCACTGCAACTAGAGAAAGACCGCGTGCAGCAACGAAGACCCAACGCAGACAAAAATAAATAAATAAATAAATTTAAAGTGTATATTGGGAAAAAAAAAAGAATATTCTGTAATAGATAAAAAGAATGAAAGAAATCTTTATGCACTAACCTAAATAAACCTCTAAAATATATGGCTGAATGAAACAAAGTTACTGATGTTTACGTTATGATACATACTACAGACACTATATATTTCCTACAATGATTTTCACACTAACACATAAATTGAAAAAAGTCTGAAAGGATATGTAACAAACTGATTAACAGTGCTTACTTCTAAAAGGGGGACTGAGATTGAAGTGTAGTCAGCAGGAGTGTTAGCTGCACTTTTTTTAAAACAAGGAA